CCAAACAAAAAAAACAAACAGCAGCCCTGGTCTTTAGCTTCATCAACTGTTGCCACTATAGTAACCTACCTGACATATTCTAACATATGCACATAAGCATATCATATAGATGATGCAAGCACACCCATATGCAGAAATTTGAATTTACCTTTAGACATCAACCACACAAACAGATACAGAGACAGACCCAAATTCACAAGAGATTGATGGAGGGTGTGTACAATAGAAATATAATAGATAACTTGAAAGAGCAGGACAACACTTCTATTTCCTTCAAACTTGGATGTCTTGAACTGAACTAATGCGAAGAGGTGACAGTAGACGTCCAGGAGGCCAAAGTTAACTTGGAAAATTGAAGTGGCCTTTGTTCCTCAGTAGTAGGTACTAAGTGAACCTGGTTGCTGTCATCTATTCACTCTGGTAAATTAACAGATAACCATTGAATAATTTCCACGACTGTGTTGACTGTCAGGATCCAAAAGTGATCGATTTTTACCACTGTGAATGCTCCACTAGGGCAGCGTAGAGCAAGAGCCCTATAAATGTTGCTGAATGCCTTCTGGTCAAAGTTCCGGGGCGAAGGCACTAGTGTATTTCAGATACCTTCTGTTTAAACCACCAGGAGGAATCGAAATCATCAAGCGGAGATTTCGTTCCTGTGTGGTATGAATTTAACTGAAATGAGAACTCGGAGGCGATGGTAGCAAAGCCACAGGAAGATTTATATCGCAGAAGAAAGGGAATTGTTTTGTTTGTTTCCTATATATTATACTATTTTTAGCGCTATGCCGAGCGGTACTAAACGTCCTGGGCTCAGGCTGTGAACCCGCGGGACTTGGGAAAACCTCAAAGGAGTCTTTTAACTCAAGCGGGCTTCTGTACAGCAGCGAGCTCTCCCTAGTTAATGACCGCTTCAGTGTGAGGATGGGTGCGGTGAGGACGCGGGACCTCATTCCCGGGCCCAGGGCTGGGCAGCCTGGACCACAGTCAGGGTATGTTCAGGTGGGAGGCAGTCGGGTCTTTAGGTGGTTCCACATCCTTGGCTTGGGAACTGCGCGAAGCGCTTTCGGAAAATCCTTGCTCTGGCTGCCCCAAGGCCACTCTCCGTGAACACTTTCCAAACCACCGGCTTCTGTCCTTTATATGAAAGGAGCCAACAAACCTAAAGACCAGAAGGAGGTGGGCAGCCCCTCCGGAGTCACCCTAAGGTTTGCAGGCCAGAGACAATCACTCCGTTTGCAGAACGATGGTTTCCCCGAGGACACGGACTATTTTCTCTCCTTCGGACTTCATTCCCACCCCCGCACCCGCACCCCCCAACCCCGCACCCTCAGGGAGACCTGGGTGTGTCCACCGGTTTAAGCTTGGGGTTGCCACGACTCTACCTCTCAGGGACCACAATTTGTGTTCCCAGGCCAGCTAGCCCAGGAAGGCTGCCCAGAGTTTCTGGTGCATGTGGGATAGCCTGAGGGCTCTGATCTCACCTCTGCAGCCAAGTCTCTTCAGGTTGCCCTAGGGTCCCAACCCAGTCCTTGCCCAGGGTGGAGCTCTCAGAGGAACCAGTCTACTTCTGGCTTTCTGGACAACTGGGCCCTCCCAAGGACAGTCTCTAACTGGTAACTACCGCACTGCCAGACTTAAAAAATAGCATTATTATTTTTTAAGAGCCCAATCTCTTTGAGCAAAGCCCACACTCAGCTACCCCAGTCTCTGCCTGCCAAACAGAGGCCATCTGGCACCTTCCAAAAGGCCTGGTGATCTCTGGTCCAACCGGAGGTGGTACACCCCACCCCACCAGTCAGCGCTGCAATCACAGATGGCCCCAAACCGTTTTCTACTAGCCTGGCCTCTTCTAGGAGGAATCCTAGAGCCCTGTTGCACAGAAGTAGCAGCCTCAGGAATGCACAGAATGAGACTGAGATCTCAGCCTCCCAGACCTGATAGGTTTGCTGTGGAGCCCAAACACTAATGTAAAAGGTCTCCCGCCTCCACCAACCTGGTAGAAAGACTCACCTGGAGGAGGTTGCCATGGAAAACAAAGGCGTTCAGAAAACCATGCCATGCTCAGCCAAGATCTGTGAATGCATGAAGTAAATCAGCAGCCTCAGTGTGAGGATTTGTCAAAGGAGAGGAACCTCTGAGATGGCTCCACAGTCTCCTGGTTGCTTATGGAAATGGTTCTATTACAGTAACAAATAATATGAAAGAACAGCTCTTTTCTAGTCACTGAACTAAGGATTCTTTGATTTAAACCTTACAGCAACTCTATAAGATAGTACAAAATTTGCCACTACTTTAATGCGGAATAATTTTTTCCATTTATTCAAAGCAAATCTATCACACCCCAGGACCCAAGACCAGGTGCCCAAGCCGCCTGGAACTGCTCCCTCACCCAGATAAAAAGGGTCATCTTTCTGTTCAGGAGACTTTCTACCAGGTTGTGACCCTGTTTCTCTAAGAAACAGAGCAAAGAAAATACTAATTTAAACAAGCAAAACAAAACTGCTCAATTTCTCTCTCTTGCAAAGAAAATAAAAGCAGAAATTCAGGAAATGAATCTGTAGCTGGAACCTTAAGATGCCTCAAGAGGCATCTTTGAGTGCAAGGCGCTGCCCCAGGAGCTGGAAGTCACCAAGTCACCCATCTTTGTTCCCAGTGCAAGACTTTCTTGGCCCTGGGTCTCTGAGAGTGTGACCAGTCCAAGCAGTATTTTCTTTGGAAGAACCACAGAAAAAGTCTTCATCTCATCTCCCAGCTCTCTGGGGTACTGCTAGGCTGTCCTTGATTGCAGTGGGTTGGCCTTTGGTTCCATTCAGTGTTTTCCACTGGCAGTGCTGAACTTCTGATGCCCCAGGCTGTATTACCAGAGACTGCCATCTAAGCAAGGTAAAGAAGGTACAGAAGGGTTTGTGTTGTTTTGGTTTTTGAGACAGGGTCTCACCATGTCACTCTGCAGTCCTGGTTAGCCTGGAACTCACTTTGTAGAACAGGCTGGCCTGAAGTCTGCCACCCAAGTGTTTGGATTAAAGGTGTGCATCATCACACAAGAATAGGCTCTTAAAAATAAAGCAAAAATGGGAAATCCACCAGCCTGGATCCACCAGTGCTCAAACTCAAGCTGCAAGACACTTAATCCCTGGATAGTGGAAAATGCTAGTTTAAATTTGAAAATGAGATAGGAATATTATACTGTAGGAAAGTTTGAAACAGTTTTTTTTTATCACTTCTCATCTTATCTGTATTTATTGTCTTCCATGGACAACCTGAACACAAGGCCCACATCTTGAAAGGAGCAACTGACTTGAAAACTGCAGACCTGTTTGCAAAGAACTGTTAATTTAAAAACTTTAAATGAAAATAACCAATTTTTAAGTTCTTTAAATCATGAACATTTTCATAATCTGTAAAATGTGGACTTCATCCTGCCTCTGTGAATAGTTTGTGTTCAAGGATTACCAAGCTACCTGGCTTGCCTCTGGAACTAAATCCACATCCTAAATAGAAAGTTCAAATGTGCTTGGTACATGTTTCTCCTTCTGAACCATTGAGGTCCCTGGGAGCATAGACACTCTTGCTCCCATTGCCCCTAAGTTCTAGTCGGGCAACTGCCCAGCCAGTCTTGAAGAATTTTCTGTTCTTTAGAAGAAAGGCGTCCAGGCTGAAGGATGTAAGCTAAAGGAGTATTTGGCTAAAGAGAAAAGGAGCTAGAAGAAGGAAACAAGGAAGAGGAAGGTGAAAGAGAAGGAGAATCGGAACAAGGACTCAGACTCCTCATATTTAATAGACACCAACTTCACTGAAACCTCAAACAGTTTTTTATAATTATTCTTAGCCGTAAATTAGTCGTCCAGGTAAAAGCAGCTCTGTTTCTGGGCAGCAAAGCCATCTAGTCCAGCTGGCCTGCAGTACGCTGGAGAGCTCTCTAATAATGCACATTTTCCATCGTCCTTTGAAGAGTCTGTTTCTCTAAATAGGTCCCAGGATAGCGCGCAGGAGGCAGGTAGGAATGTGCCCAACAGAGGCACATGGGCAGACCTGGTCATTCACATGCCTCAAAAGTTTTCAGAAACCAGCGTTTCTTTTTCCCAGAAGTCTGCCAGCATCTCTCCTGCTGCGCTCCAACTGTCTCATGTGCCCGGAGGAATGGGTCTCCTTGTGGGGCGACTAGGTTAGCCTCCTGATTCTCACCCTGTCCACCTGCCCGCGCCCAAGTCCATACCCAGGCTCTTAGACCCGCTCTCCCTCTGCAGCCAGTCGGGGAAGCCGCCGCCAGGCTGTGAGCTGGATCAGCTCCTCACCGAGGTTCCTGCGGCCGCAGGGGCGCTACGCTGGAGGGCTGCGGCGACGCGCTAAGGCCGGGAGGCAGGCGACCCTCTCTGGCAGCGGCGGGGACGCCGGGTGGCACGGCACCGCCGGGAGGTGGTGGCGGCAGCAGCGCCAGCAGCTCCTCACCCGATGTCACTGAGCAATCCTGCTCAGGTTCCTCGCCCCCGCCAACCCCGGTCGCAGTCCCGCTTCCGCGCTTCTTGTCCTCCTCCTTTTTCCACTTCATGCGGCGGTTTTGGAACCAGATCTTGATGTGTCTCTCAGTCAAGTTCAGCATGACTGCCAGCTCCACCCTGCGCGGCCGAGAGATGTACTTGTTGAAAAGGAATTCCTTCTCCAGCTCCAGCAGCTGTGCCCGCGTGTAGGCTGTGCGGGTCCTCTTGTTCTCCTCCGGCTCCGCCGGGTACGCGCCGCCTGCGGGCGACACAGTCGATGAGTGTGGTGCCCGGGGCCGGTTCCCACCCATACAGCCTAAGCCCTGTACCCCTGACCCAAGAATACCCCTCCTGCGCCTCCAGAGCAGTTGAAATGCTGCGCTGCTTTTGCTGCAGAGCCCACTGTGCTTAGGCTTGGCTCTGCCAACCAGTGGTTTTAGAAAAAGGTCAGTTAATTTAGGATGTTAAATGACTACAGTGTGAGACTGGAGAGATGGCTTGGCGGGTAAGAGCATTTGCTGATCTTCCAGATGACCTGGGTTCAGTTCCCAGCACCCACAGGACAGGGCGGCTCATAACTGCAACTCCCCTTCTGGGGGATCTGACCTCTCCGTGGACACACTCACTCAATGGTGCAGGTACCTGTACTCAAGCCCACACATACATATACAATAAATCTTCAAAAAATGACTAAAATGCATTGATTCTATTCTACTAAGGCAATAACATGTCTTAAAAACACAGAACTTCCTTTAAACAAGCTTTCTGACATTCACCTACTGTAAGAAAAACATTTTAGATCCAGTCCCTATACGAATATATAACTGACAAACATTTCTAGACAAACTAACTTTTACTATGTTTGATACTAGTGTTTCTTTGTTCACTATCTTGTTAAAAAATGCTAAACTCAACCCATTAATTTAACAACCCACTAATGGGTACATCCTACAGTTTGAAAATCCCTGTGCTCATATAAGTTATGATACATTTTGTTATATCTGAACATATATTACTTTTATTTATTTATTTGCTTGTTCGTTTTTTTAAGACAGGGTCTCCCTGTAGCCCCAGCTGGCCCAGAACTCACTATGTAGACCAGGCTGGCCTTGAACTCTCAGAGATCCACCTGCTTCTGCCTCTGGGATTAAAGGCATGAACATAAATTATTTATTTGTTTTACTTTATTTATTTTATGTTTTTGTCTTTTTGAGACAGGGTCTCCCTGTAGTCCCAGCTGACCTGAACTCACTAGGTAGACCAGGCTGGCCTTGAACTCACAAAGATCTGCCTGCTTCTGCCTCCCAAGTGCTGGGACTAAAGGCAAGGCATGTGCCACCACGCCCGGCCCGAACATAAATTATTTTAAAATCTACTATTTATTATTATTGTTGTGTTACAGTGTGCATGTGTGAGTGTAGACATGCATATGGAAGTCAGAGGTTCTCACTTTCCACCATAGGTTCCAGGAATAAAAACACAAATCATCAAGTTTCCCCGTTAAGTGGTTTTATCCACTGACCCACCCTCTCACCCCCACCCATGTATTAGTTTAAAATAGAGTTATATTGTAATTAGTCCCAAGAGATGGCAAATTCTCTATAATTGTTAGTATAATCTCAACTAGTCCCTACCGGCTTTGAAAAAGAATACTGTTTGGGGGAAGGTCAATTTTGGTAGGAGGACACTGTTTACTCTTGAGTCTGCACTGCGCAGCAAATGTTGGCAGAGCCGCCCCCCTGCCAAGCCGTGGAAATGAGAGCCCTGAGGAGAAGGAGGTGGTGTAGAAACAGACCACTGAGGGACTTCTCAGTTCCTGCTCCAAAACCTGTCAGAACACATTGCTGGAAAATCAGTACCACACTCCGGCAGTTGAGGTCTAGATCCTTTCTGTGAAGTGAAGGGCTTGCTTAAGAAGAGGAGCTAAGGAGATTTGTAATGAGGACATCAAGGGAGAAGGATTGATTTCCCCATAGAGTCAGCGGCTTGAGATCTCCTCAGGCCAAGGGGTGGGCTGGAAGCATCAGCCGGAGGCCCTCTACCCTTCCTTGGTAAAGCAGTGCTGCTCTCCAGAATATCTCCAAATCATTCAGGCCTTCCCTGGCCTGGAGAGAGGTGCAGCACGTCCTTAAAGAAACATTGAGAAAAGGTCACCGATATTTCTTAACTTCAACACATAGATTCTTCAGACTGCAGCCCTCAGCTGCCCAATTTGCCCAGCAGCAGTGAAAGACTACAGAGGTTCACTACCCTCTGAGGACCAGTGCCTGGGTAGAAGAGGCCTGAGCAGACAGGGGTTGAAGTTGAAAGCTGATGGTGGAAAGATGTCAAGAGCCCCAGGGTCTGGTCCTCCTCCAGGGCTCAGAGCAGAACGGGTTGTTTAGATGTTAGAAAGTTCTTTTAGGTCCATGTTTTCAAAGGTAGGTATCACCATTTACATTCATATTCCTACTATGAAGGGGGCCCTTTGGTCATCGTGCCCTTCCGAATGAGTCTGAAATCCCACTAAGCCTGGGCGGGTGGGTTGCCAAACGTTTTTTTTTTCCCTGAAATTTTTCAGGAAGGAAGGAGCGTGGGAGGGCTGGAGCTCCCCGTGGGCAGCCATCCACTGGGAGAGTGGAGGTCCACTGGTTCCACTGGTTCTGGAGAGTCAAGCCTGCAAAGGGACCCACAAAGGTCTCTCCTGCCCGATTTCGCACTCTGATGATGTTTTTCCCAAACTAACCCAGGAGAAAGCTGGCTTTCCTTTGAATTTTACTCCTTGGTCTCTTGAATACCTGAATCCAGCACAGGAGTGTACAGCACTGTGGCAGGAGGATGGTGAAGAATCACACTCAGAAATCCTTCCTTAAGGCCTCCTTGGTCTTTTTCCTAAGAAGTTTCAGGCCAAGAGGGGGAAGGCCAGGGATGCCAGAATGTGCCCAAGGTTCTGCCAGAGGGAGTCCAGAGAAAGGCACATTTGTGAAGAAACTCCCTGCTGAGATCAGTGGAGGGGCCATCTTCCTGTAGCTGAGAGACTCTGAACCCTTTGGCCTCCACATTTCGTGGGGGCTGAAGACAATCGCCTTGGCAACACCTGGCAGCTGCATTTGCGTGGAATTCGCTGGAGGTGGGGGGCCACCACAGCAGAGTTGGAGCCCTGTCTTGCTTCAGGAGAAAGTGGTTTAACAAGAGGTAAGCCCCAGAGACTGTGGGCCAGTGTGGCTACCCCAACCGACACATAGCTTTGCTTGGCTGCTCTCGGGCGGGTTCCCCGGACAGGTCCCTGCAGACATGAAGCCGAGAATTCTCAGAGGATGCCAACTCCAGCTTCTTTGCCTTTGCTCCCGACAGTCAGTTGGAAAGCAAAGAAAAAGCAACTATTTGCAGTACAGGTGTGTCCAGAAGTGGTTGCAGCCCGGAAGCGATAACATTGTGTAGCAGTGGGCACAGGCCCGGAGGGAATTCACTGCCTGCATCCGGCGGGTAAGGAACCTTCGAGTGGCTCTACGTCTCTGCCTCCTAGCTGCCGAAAAGACCTACACAGGCCAGTGCCTAAGCCCCAGGGGGCCCAGGAGTCCCACTTCACTGGGCTGACTGTGCAGGAAGGAGGCGTCTCCTTCCTTCTGCAAACGTACTTCCTGGGACGCAGAGCAAGAAGACCCTTCACTTTTGGTTGGTCCAGAATGAATTAGTACCCCTGACGCATCTCCCAGCTGCCTGGCTCCGAGGGTGAGCAGTCCGCCTTCAGTCTTTGGGTGAGCCCCTCACTTTACCCCGGCCTCTTCCTGTTCACCTCCACAGCTACCCAACTCCACAGCTGCCCAACTCTAGGGCCGCTGAACACTTTGCAGGCCTGGATGGATGCAATTTTCCTTTCCTTTCCATCTTTTCTGCTTATACCGGAAGCCTGTAGGAGGGCCTGTGCTTCTTTAATGAAGCCCCCTGGACAGGACAGGGAAGTGAAGGGACCTGGAGGTCCTTAGGCCCTCCAAGTCTAGTCAGAGACATAGTAGGCCCTGGGAGTCTTTGGTCACCAGGTTCCCTACTACAAAATGATCCAGAGGTTGGAAGCTCTGAGCCTGGCTAGGCCTCTGCTTTTCGTGGGCGGTGCAAGCCAGGTCCCAGGGTATGAAGGGCTGGGGACAACCGCAAGGAAGGAGAGCTAACTGGGAAAGATGCTCGGAAATGGGCCAGAAATGCAATTCTAAGCAGGCTGGACTCCTGGTAGTTTATTCCAAACCTGCTTTATCAAATGGAGGTTGGAGAGGAACTGGGAAGGGGCCCTGGAGATAGCATATAATCTAGACCAGCAGAGTAGAAAAGTGAAAAGATCCAGGCTTACCTGCCCACTGGCCTTTCCACGCATGAGCTTTGGTGGACTTCATCCACGGAAAAGGTAGCTGAACGCGGCTGGGCTCTTCCAACCCCCCTGGCTCGGTTCCATTCGGAAAGGGCCCGGCGGGCGGGTGGGCAAGCGTCAGCTGAGCTGGGAGGTGGTGGTGAAGCTGCGCCACTGCAGGGTCGTCGGCGAGGGGGGGCACTTCGTATGGGGAGATGTCCGGGGGGCTTCCCTGATCCAGTGCTCCCAGTGTGCCTGCGAACTGGGGTGGCGGCGGAGGTGGGGGCTGGCGGCCCATGTACAGGCACGCTGGGGGGTTGGCGCTGAACTCTGGCACCGGGCCCCTCTGGAACGCACACGGGTCCTTGTAAATCTGGGTGGCCGCGTAGTACTGCTCCTCGCCGTTCATGGTTGCAGCCCACACTAGGGGACCAGTCGCCCTGGGCAGGGAGCTACAGCCAGGCCTCCGCGCAGTCCCGCACTCCCACTCCCTGCGCCACCCCTGCTCGCTTTGACAGTTCTCCACTGCTCTCCTAGGGAACCGCCCGCAGACCCGGGATGCCGTAGCCCGACGCCGCGCCATAGGCTCTGCCTCGCCCCACGTGGCTCAGCCTGGGGACATTATTGGCCCGGCTGACTGCCTTAAGAAGGAGGCCCAGCTGCCCGCGAACACCTGTATTTGTTTCAATTTTCTATCTCAGCGGAGTCTGCTGCACACCCACCCCTCTATGTACATCTGGCAGAGCTCTCCAAAATGGGGCTCGGAGAAAACAAAAAATCAGAACTATTTTACTTTAACATTTTCACCATCCTTTCTTTTTCTTTTTTCTTTTTCTCTTTTTTCTACTCCCTCCCTTCCTTCCTCCCTCCCTCCCTCCCTCCCTCCCTTCTTTCTTCCTTCCTTCCTTTCTTTCTTTCTTTCTTTCTTTCTTTCTTTCTTTCTTTCTTTCTTTCTTTCTTTCTTTCTTTCCTCCTTTCTCTTTTTCTTCTTTTTCTATCTTTGAGACTGGCTCTCTCTGCACTCTAGCCCGGGCTGGCCTGTAACTCATGATGTAGTCCAGACTGGTGATCCTCCTGCCTCAGCTTCACAGTGCTGGTAGATTACAGGTGTGGGTCACCACCGGCCCAGCTTTTAATTTTCTTGCAATTTTTATGATGTACATAAATATTAGTTCAATAATATGTATGTAATAATAGTATGTTGAGGTGGCACATTTCTCAACTGTTGGGAATACAGTAAAAATATGTTTGCAGAACCCAGCTGGAAGCTGCTGTTTCTGTTTTAGTGATGATGTTTGTTGAAAAGCACCAATAATGTGGAAGTGGAGCATCGAAATCCCTCATCGTTTTGTTTTTAATCTGTGACAAGTAAACTGTACATTCTGGATCACTCACAGCGGCCTAAATTTTTTAAGTTGAAGGCTACTATTAAATTTGATTTTAGGAAATGAGGCTTATTTGATTAACTCAGAACACAGTTTCCCAAATGTGCAGAAGGTGAAGGAAGCCATGTCCCTTTTGTGTCTCTTTGAGATCTGTAGGTCCTAGTGGAAACTTCCCGTAGAGAACATCCACTTTGGGTGTGATTGAAATAAGGCAGGTGAGAGAGGAGAGGAGTGGGAAGTTTAGAAAATGAAATTAAAACGTTGTGTGTATTGGACATCTGCACTTGGCTTCTAACCATTCAATATTCTGGATTTTCTAGGGACCTGACTTTAACAGGGTGTGTGGGCACCGGCACAGGGGCACACCCACTGGCAAGGATGGACTCTGTCCCAGGGGCCAGTGCTCATCAGTGGGTGTGGGTGTCACAGAGACTGCTGATTCACTAGCCCTAGGTTTTGGGGCCAGGCTCTGATCCAGTTGTCTGGAGCTCATCACAATTCTCTAACACTGCCTCTGGAAGGTTTTGGGAAAACTGAGCACCTTTCCAGAATGCCTCTGTAGAAGAAGGCTAGGCAATCAGGAGGAAATCACTGCAGCATGATCACGTACACTACACACTCACAATCTAGACCTTTGCAAGATTTTAGTGTATTTTTATCCCAGTGGAAATGTGTTTTAAATGTATACTGACTGACTGAATGGGCTACTCTAAACACACTCTATGTTTTTGAGACTGGGTCTCACTACAGAACCTTGATTGCCCTGGAACAGGATATGTATATAGACCAGGCTGCCCTTGATCTCAGAAAATCTGCCTGCCTCTGCCTCTCCAGTGCCTTGTGAATAAAGGCCTGGACTACCAGACACCGGCACAGTCTCCCTTTATATTAAAGATCCCTCACTCCCCAAAATCCACCCCCAAATAAAACAAAACCCACCCAATTATTGAGAATTTTGTACTTCTCTGCAAATTCTTTCCCTTCTGGGATTTTATTCGCCCGGGAGTGCGGCCGCTGATTGCTCAGGTGGCAGCCTGGGAGCCGCACAGTTCCACCAATGCAGGCTGAGGCCGGTGGGGAGAGATTGAGTGATTTCTTCAGGGAAAAGGGCCACCTGTGGCCGTCGGGGGCCTGAGAGTGAAAGGCCCTAGCACCCGTGCACTTAATCTCTACAGGCCGGTGTCAATAGGTCCATTGTTCCCGGTGGCCGCCGGGGACCGACGCTATCTCCCCGGCCGCGAGTGGCTACATCGATCGGAAAGACAGGACCGGAGGGGCGGCGCAGCAGCCGTGTGTTGACCCTCGCAGATAATCTGCCTGGTGGCCGCGGGTTGACTTGGTGACGCGGTTATGAGCGGACCCGGAGCTGGGCACCGGACAAAGATCCGCACCTTTGTCCTCCCTTCCCCTTCCCCCGGCTCCGCTCCGGTCCTCACCTGGGCACCTGCCCTCGGGCCCCCAGAGCCCCGCCTCGCCGGCACCCCCTGCAGTGTTTACTTTGCACTTCTGGTCTAATTGCACATTTCGGCAAATTGCTCTCCATTTCGACGCTTCATTTGCTCCCATTTAATATTTTTGCTCGGCCCTGCCTAAAGGAAAGAGGAGCTCAGCAGAAAATAAATCCACCCAGGGCGGCTCGCTGGAAAAACTAAAATAAATAAATAAATTCCCTGGGTTGAGCAAAAACTTGAGGGAAGGAGGCTGGTGTGTGAGTGTGAGTGTGAGTGTGAGTGTGTGTGTGTGTGTATCTCGCGTGGGTGCCCTGAAGATGTTCAACGCAAGCAAGTTCTCGGGTTTCACAATTAGTGTTTTCTGCGGTCTCCTCTCTGAAAAAAAAAAGTCCCAAGCAACAAAGACCCAACAGTCATGTATTACAACTCTTAGGTAGGCCCGACTTTCCCCGAATTTTTTGATTGGCTGATTATTACGCACATCTTTATGAAAAACGCATCTAGCAAGATCCAGTGAGCAAGACGGCTCTCGGTGTACCTGGCTCCTGGCATCATAAACCCGCCAAGTCCATAACAGGTGAAAAGCGTTTCCGCTCTGAATCCCCGCTGACGCCTGAGCCCCCTTCGCCTCCCGCAGGCGGGGAGTGATATTCAGCCATTAGGTGAGAGCCTTCCCGAGCCATTTAACAGCAGCTCTTATGGGTAAATAAACAAAAAAGGCTGTAAACCAATTATAGTGTGGACAGTGAAAAAGTCGTTTATTAGCAGGCCGTACTGATAGACCTCACTGATACTGGAGGTCTGTCTTCCCCTCTTCCTTCCCTGAGGCTGGATTTGCACAGAGGAGCACAGGCTGTCTAGTTCCTGGGACATGGCTGTCTTCCCTAGGTAGTTTTTCAGGTGCTTCAAGGGCTAGTTTAGCCTAGATGACAGCAATTAAGCCAACGCATCCCATTGACTACAAGGATAGGTTTATGTGAGATTTAATTAAATTAATTAATTAATTAATTTTAAAATTTTGAGATAGGGTCTACCTGTAGCCCCAGCTGGCCTGGAACTGGCTATGTAGATCAGGCTGGCCTTGAACTCACAGAGATAGGCCTGTTCTGCCTTCTGGGTGCTGGGACTAAAGGCATGGGCCACCACACCAGGCTGAGATTTAATTTTTTAGAGCATATTCATTTCAAAATTATTTCACTGTTGAAAATAAAAATAAATTTCTGCCCTGAGTTGAGAAAACTCAGTTAAACAAAATATATTTAACCAGATTCATAAAAGATTATTTTTAAAAATGTATTTTATTTTACATATATGAACCTTTTGCCTACAAATATGTTTGTGCATTATATGGGTGCTACACCAGGCCAGAAGAAACTCACCAGGTGGGAGCTGGGAGTGGAACTCAGGTCCTAAACTGGAAACCTAACCCAGGTCCCCTGGAAGAACAACAGCAAGTGTTCTTGTAATAGATTCTTCACCTGCCTGTGATAACACTACCTTTAGTGGCCATGGAGGTAGAGTGCCATTTGTTACTGCGGACTGATCCCTTCCTTCCCTTTTATAGATCTAGAGTCTGGAGTGCAAGTGGGAGAAGAGTCTGGGAGTAAGGCTAGAAAGGACTTCCACTTTGAAGCCAAAGGTGTTCAGCTGGGTTCCAGGGCAGAACAATTCCAGTGGCAGTAAGTGAAAAGTTGAGATTATTTTCCAGATAATTCAGCACACCCCATCTGCTGTATAGCTATATGCTGCTTAAAAACTGAAGATAATTGCACAATTGTCTTACTATGTATCTTTACTGGGTATGAGAGTAAAAGGGACCATAAGAGGCCTGTGGTGGTGCACACCTTTAATCCCAGCACTCAGGAGGCAGAGGCAGGCAGATTACAATGAGATCCAGCTGGGGCCATAAGGAGACCCTGTCTCAAAAAAAAAAGTGGGAGGGAGCAATAAGGGCAGGCCACTCAACATACACTGTGACTGGCTGCAGGCTTCCTTCCCAGAAACAAGTGAGTTCCAATGTGCCAGTCCCATCCTCTTAGTAGGTTGAATTCTCTGTCCTTCTGTTCTCTATGCACCAGAAGGAAAAGTATGAAAGGAAGCTGAGACTCCAAGCATTTAAGATCAAGGGCTTTCCCATCCCCAATCTCTGTGATTTCCCCCTGCAGTTCCAGACTTACCCCTCTGGTCTGCTTCCACCTAAGCTCCCAGATCTTCTTATCCAGATGGGTAGTCTCCAGACATTCTAAGTCCTCCATAACCATTAACATTCTTCCTCTGCCTTCTGCTCCCACTTGACTGTCCACTTCTGGGCACCTCTCTCTTTTCCCAGATTTCTGCTATGGTCTGTACTCTTGGGTCCCTCCTGCTGTCTCCTGCAACCTCCTGTGTTTCACATGCTTTATTGGTTTCAATAGTATTTATTGATTAAGCATCTATACAATTCTTACTGTGTGCTTTCCTTTGAGGAGTGAAAATTCACTAGTAGAAATACCCCCTGGCTCTGGTGTACCATTGTTCTTAGGAGCTGCATGCCGTTATTTTCCAAATCAATTCTGGCCAGTGCAAGCTGTGTA